CAGGGGCGGGTGAGGCCCTGGAGGAGGCCGCAGAAGGCAGGCAAGGAGCCCAGGACACATGGCACCCCTACCACCATCCAGCATCCTGCTGGGTCCTGCACCCAGGAGGGCAAGGCCCTGAAGCAGGAGGAGGCCCTGGAAGGTGGGCGGCTCCCCAGCACGTCCTGCTGCACCAGGTGCATGCGCCCACCCCCACCCCCGGCCTCCAGGCCTGTGTGGCTCCACTCTGCGCTCAGGGCCTGGGAAGCATTCCAGGAGTGGGGCGTGTAGGTGTCAGGACTCCTCCTCAGGGTGACCCTTCACCTGGGAGTCCCCCACTCCATTCACCCCCTGGCCAGCAGGAGCACCCTCGGTGGGTCTGCTGCGCTGGGCGCAGGGGAGGAGGAGGCCAGCGGAGGGTGAGGCCCTAAAGCAGGAGGAAGACCAGGACTCAAGGCGCCCCCACCTCCACCCCCTGTCTTGCTGGGGCCTGCACCCAGGGATGCCATGGCTGCAGCAGGGCCACCAGCTGGGTTTAGAGGTGAGTCCTCCGCGCACAGTCCCAGCAGCCTGCTTGGTGTGGGTGGGGGTTTCGGGTCACCTTGAGGGAGGCTCAGACCTTTCTCTGCTCCTCTCCTGGTGGAGCGGCGGGTCAGAGGAGTCGCCTTCCAGCCCCCAGGCTGCTTCTCAGAGTCAGAAGTTGCACCATCGGCCTCTGCCTAGGATGGGACCTCTGCACCCCCAGGGTGCATAAACACACAGGGCTTCCATCAGGCTTTGCCGCAGGGAGGCCTTGCTGCTCTGCAAGCTTGGGGGTCCTTTGGCTTCACTCCACCCCTTGAAGTCTAGTATACAAATTAACCACCATCTTTGTTGGTGGTTAATTTGCATATCACCCTGATTAGCCAATGGGAAGCATAGCGGAAGTATGGTTAATTACCCTTTTTGTCTTTTATTAGATAGGATATTCACAGAACTAAAGGGAGAAACAGATTAAACACAATCATAGTTTTGAAAGCTATAGACAGATAAACCAAAGAGAAAATCAATAAAGAAATAGCAGCCTGGGTCAATATCTGGGTTCTCTATTCTGTTCAAATGGTTTATATGTCTGTTCTTGTGCCAGTACCAGGCTGTATTGAGAACAGTGGCTTTGTAATATATATATTGAAATCTGGTATTGAGATTCCACCTATTGTTTTTCTTTCTCAGGATTGCTGTGGCTATTTGGGGTCTTCTTTTATTCCAGATGAATTTTTGGAGAGTTCTTTCTAGGTCTGTGAAATATGCTGTTGGTATTATAATGGGGAGTGCATTGACTCTATAGATTGCATTAGGGAGTATGGACATTTTAATGATGTTGAGTCTACCAATCCATGAACATGGTATGTTCTTCCACCTGTTTATGTCTTCCTCTATCTCTTTTTTCAACGTCATGTAGTTTTCCAAGTACAGGTATTTTATGTCCTCAGTTAAGTTTATTCCTACGTATCTTAGTTTTTGTTTTATTGTGTGTGTGTGTGTGTGTGTGTGTGTGTGTGTGCACAATAGTAAATGGGATTGCTTTTTTTTCTCATTTCTCTTTTGGTGAGTTCATTATAAAAAGGCCATAGATTTCTGGGTGTTAATTTTGTATTCTGCTACATTGCTGAATTCATTTATTAAGTCTAGGAGTATTTTGATGGAGACT